ATAAAAATAAAGGTGACTTGACTTGACATTGTTTTTGCATTGAAGAAAGAAACGTATACTGATCAGATCGACATGATGGTGAGTAAATGATAGAATTTTCATTTTTGGGTGAACTGTGTCTCTAAGATGAATAAACACAAAACCACTGTCAAATTTGTTCACTAGACTGACTATTGATTCTTTCATGGTTTATTTGTTTAGTGGTGAGGCATTTTCAAAACACATCTCCCATTGAACTTTTAGGAAAAACAAAGTAAACTGCTTTACAGGTAAGAAATGCAATGTATTAAAACCTTAAAATAAACATTTGAGTATACAACCATGTTGATTTGATTTTAATTGGTGTCCATTCTGAATTTACCAGCAAATGATTGCCTGTCAGTGGAATTGGACAGAAAGAATGATCATGACTTTTTGGACTGGACCATCATATCTCTCAACCACTCAAAGGTGTCTGGCTTTGCCCAGGTTCTGCTGTGATGCCAAATACAGCGTTTGAGCACCGCAGCTGTGTAGCACAGATAGCTTGCTGTCAAAAGTGTTTTTCAAGCGAGGGACAATTATGCTCAATCAGAGATGATGCTTTACTGAGTGTTTTCCTCCCTCTCATGCGCCTCTAATTTGGTTTACGAGAGAATGCGACTGATGGCGATCTTACAGAGGTTTTGAGCGAGTGGGGTTTCAAAATTGCAACAGCAGCCAATTATGGAACAGACAGAGCACATGCTCATAAAATTTGCACAAGAATCTCAGCATTTCGAAACCATTAGCTCTGAAAACTCATCCTCAATTTCAGATGTTTCTCTGGGAGCATCCTGATAATAGAAGTAGTGGTGTAAAGCATTATGGAAATTCTGTGTACCAGCAGCTGTGAACAGTTGAGAGTGCAGTGATCATGTTGATACACCAGCAATTGAAGCTGAAATTCAGTTTGTTTGTTTTCTGTGCCGCATGGTGCCCATTGACAGCACTCTGAAGTGCACTAGTTAATGTTCAAATAGAACCTTTAAAGGGATAGTCATTCAAATTCAGTCATCATTTACTTTTAGAAAATACTTCTGACAAAATGAACAATGTGTGTCTTTAGCTACACACTGTAATATGAACAACCAGTCAGTAACATCTCGGTTACGTATGGAAACCCTTGTTCCTTGATGGAGGGAATGGAGACGTTGTGTCGAAGTTCCGACACAAGGGGTTGCACTTGGGAGCCCAGACTCCTCTGACATAATTGAGAAAAGGCCAATGAAATTGGTGAGCAATATTTGCATAGCTGGCCATGCCCCGGACATCCGGGTATAAATAGGCCAGCGTGGCATTTGCTCACTCGTTTTGTTCTGAGGAGTCGAGAAGCATCTCAACCCACTCAGAAGCAGTTCAGAGTTGTGGCATAAGGTACACAACGTCTCCGTTCCCTCCATCAGGGAACGAGGGTTACCATATGTAACGGAGACATTTCCTTTCAGTCGGTCACTTCGACACTAGGGGTCCTGAGTGTCATGCTCGGCTGAGTGTCACGCTCAATCTCCAAGAACCAATCATTCAAGCGAGAGCGCTCAGGACAGGGTGGAAGAATTCACTCAAGCCTGATGCTCTTTGCTGCCCGGGTAAGCACAGCTGCCATCTCAGCGTCAGGCTCAGACCAACACACAGTACCCGGAAGTGCCAGTTTAGTCGAGTCATCCGTTTCCGATCAGTCAGACCCACCCTTCAATGCGGTGATAGACAGCTCATCCTCATCGCGAGCCCCGAATGATAGATCGAACCTGTGCCACTGAGGCGGGCTCTCAAGCTCACTTAGAAACTCTACTGGAGAACATGTGCGGTTGGAGGAACAAGAGATCTGCCGGAATTCATCAGGCGAAACGCTCCCGCAACAACTCCTTGCTCTTCTTCAGTGCACATCATTGTAGCCTCATACCCGGAAGTAGAAGGGACAGGACGGTAAGCAGCTGAGGTGACTCGCGGTCTTTCTAAAAAAGAATGCATCTCCCAGAGAGATCATTCTGTTCATCGGCTCCAAAGAACAGAACGAGTGAGCAAATGCCATGCTGGCCTATTTATACCCGGATGTCCGGGGCATGGCCAGCTATGCAAATTTTGCTGCCAATTTCATTGGTCTTTTCTCAATGATGTCAGAGGTGCCTGGGCTCCCCAGTGTGACCCCTAGTGTCTGAAATACTGATTTGAGTCTTAAAGGGATAGTTCACCCAAAAATTAAATAGTATTTCCATACTATGAAAGTTGATGAGGTCCATCAACTGTTCAGTTACCAGCATTCTTCTAAATATCTTCTTTTGTGTTCAGCAGAAGAAAGAAATTAAAGAAGTTTGGAACAACATGAGGGTGAGTAAATGATGACAGAATTTTAATTTTTGGGTGAACTGTCCCTTTAAGACCTGTTCACACCGATAACAGTAACTGTATAACGATAACTATAATGAAACTATATTTGCGTCCACACCAACAAGCAATAACATTATTTTTGTTCTAAATGCACACTTTAGTTATGTTCAATTGCACAGTATGCATTAAAGGGGTCATAGGATGCTGCTAAAAAGAACATTATTTTGTGTATTTGGTGTAATGAAATGTGTTTATGCGGTTTAAAGTTAATAAGAGGTCTTTTTTGGGATGTCAATGTTCTTATAGTTCATCAGCTGGAAAAGAAATCACTGCAATTCCAGCAATATTGTTCCTCTGTGTCGTGAATGGTTGTAGTCTGGACTCTGCTATTCTTTCAGAATTACAGCAATTTTTTTATTTTTATATAAGTTTTATATTAATAGTTATCATTATTATAGTTTTTGGTGTGCTTACAGTTGCAAGTTTTAGGATATATGTGTTCGTTCGATTCTATAAAGTCATTCTTTTGGGAATTGGATTACATTGGTTGAGCAGTATATGAGTTTGAAACACTAAAAAGAACCAAATTATTCTTTCATGAATCAGACTATATGCTGGTCTCAGTGTATGTGTTTGATTCACTAAAAAGAACCAATTCATTAGAATGATTCCTTTAGGAATCATACTACACTGGTTGTGCTGTATGCTATTCATTCACATAAGAGAGCTGACTAATAAGATTAAATCCTTCAGGACTTGGAGTGCACTGCTTTTGCTGTGGTAGTCTTTAGCTTATATTGTGCACTATTTAAATGATGCATGCTATGCAGAGCATTTCAAATGAGCTTCCATTTCAGTTAAGATGCTGTCAGGTAGCAAGGCAGCTCATTAGGTTTTGGAACATAGTTGATGTCTAAGAAACAGCAAAGAACATTCTGTTTTGTACAAAAACATCAGCATTTTCTAGCACAAGTTTCAAGGAAAAGTGAAAAACTCCCTTGCTCAGCAGAGAAAAGAGGGTTTAATTTGCGCTCCAAAGTGACAGTGACTGTATCACACTCACCTTGCAGAGAGTCGCATGTTTCCATTTTAGATAATCGATTTAATTCTAAAATCCTTGTTCCAAAATCTATATTTTTCAAACTCAACAGTGAGGCTGTGAATTTTAATTAAGATCTTCAAGCAGAGCCAGATATGAAGATTGATGATACCATCAGTTATAACATGTCTGTGAAGAATGAGATGTATTTCTAGTTACTAATACGCACACTACGGTGAATTATTAAGACTGTGTTTCTGCTCCGTGCGAATTCATAATAAAGTTCCGTCACACATCACAGTCATCCAGCCTCATTCGATGCAAATTATTATTGCTGCAATATATTAGCACAAACATCAACACCTTTTTTTTTTGACTTATTATTTGTGACCCAGCAGAGTAACGTACAGTTCCATTTCCTGTTGTGAGTGGGTTGAGCATCATATTAGATCAATAACACAGCCATGTGTGTGCACTCACAAAACTCGCCCCCACCCGATGTGAAAGTGGGAGGCGAGACTCCTCAAAAGACTCATCTGTCTCTGGCTCCACTACTACTCTCTCTAAGGAATACCCTCATATGCCAGGATCAAATGGCATTCTGTCAGCAACCTGCCATGCATTTCTAGCTTACCAAAAATCCTTATTCTCCACAGCAGGATTTGTGCAAATGGACCAGAAAGAACAGAAAAACAGGCTACTGCCAGGCTAGTAATAAACTGGAAAGTATCAGTTGTAAAGGTGATAACTGCATTTTACACTTTCTATGGACGGAACAATTCATTGATTGTATTATTTTCTATTTATATTGTGAGAATTGTCTCTCGAGGAACAGTTATTTTGTTTTACTACAATATCTTTCTGTGTTTTGTGTGCCAAACTCTGTAAGATCCCGTGATTTTGAACTCCCACTTAAGAGTGTGAACTTAACGCACTGCCGTTTTGCATTGTTTCTCTTATAAAGCACCGCGTCACTGAATCTTTTGTTGGAGCCGTAAACGGCATCCTTTGTACTAGGCCAATCAATGCTGTATTTCTGCCTTTCCCTCACACCATTTAATGTTTTTGGCGTAGATTGTATCAGAACAATGGTGAAAAAAAAAAAATATATAACTAAGCCATCTCACAATAGATGAGCGCTAAAAGCAAGATTCATCCACCCACTTGGATTATGTCGTGTTGAAACAGAAGGCTGGAGAAGGAAGCTTTGTTCCTGTGTAGGGGTTTTCCTGACTCAGGTATTAACGGATCTCAAGCAGCGGATCCCAGAGAGAGCAGGCTTGAGAGTGAAATCATTTCTCTTCGTGGTGATTGTGGGAGAGGAATGAGTGGAATACGGAGATACAAAAAGAGATTCTGCTCCATTTAACAAATATAAGCTAAAAATCTAGGACTCTCACTTGAATAGCTTTGTGATTAATGAGTAGCATCTGAAACACAGTATAATGAGATATAAATTATGTTGTTACCAATCTGCGTAGTGATTGCGACTGCCAGAACTGGGAAAAATCCATTAGTTAGGTAAAACACTTAAGCAGACATCCAGCTGAAAATCTAGAGGAGGCATTTCTGAGGAGAGTATTGATTGAGATGCTTTTTGTGCTCAGCAGGTTTGTGCCTTCAGCGTCGACGGTCCAGAGGTCTCTTAATATACGAGCGTGTGCTGTTTAATGAAAGCCGTGTGCGATGCCTCCCATGCTGTGATTGCTCAGCAGGTTTGTTCTTTTCATGACTCAAAGTCCTCCTAAGAGTTCATTTCCCTGGTTTGTGTTCTTTGGTCCACCTAAGCTTTTACTTCTATTCTGAGATACAGATAATTACTGGATGGCTGAATCAGATTTCCTACTGTATTTAAAAAAAATAGCAAATGCATTTCAAGTGTTGCAATTTAAAGATGTTATGAAATCAAAATGGTATTTTAGTGTAACTTGTGTAACTTCTAAAATATGCAGTTATATTTTAGTAGTAGTGTATAAATACTACTACCATTCAAAAGTTTGAGGTCGGTAATATTTTTAATGCTTTTTTTTGAAAGTCTTATGCTCACTAAGCTGCATTTATTTGATCAAAAATACAAATAAAAACAGAAATATTGTGAAATATTATTAACATTTAAAAGAACGTTTCTATTTGAAGAAATTTTAAATTGTAAAATGTAATTTATTCCTGTGATGGCAATGCTGAATACTCCAGTTTTCAGTGTCACATGATCCTTCAGAAATCATTCTAACATGCTGATTTGGTTCTCAAAAAATATTTATTGTTATTATCAATTTTGAAAACAGTTGTGCTGCTTAAAATAACTAGATATGTTTTTCAGGATTATTTAATGAAAAAAGCAGCATTTATTTGAAATATATAAATATATATTTTTAACAATTTAGTCTTTTTTCATTTTGATCAGTTTAATGCATCCTTGCTAAATATAAATTTCAATATGCTGAAATCAATTTCTTTTTAAAAAATCTTACTGAACTTTTGAACGGTCATACACACACACACACACACACACACACACACACACACACACACACACACACACACACACACACACA